CCTCCGCCGGCGGGGAGGAGGGCATCCACGCGTTGGAGCTGTCGCCCCACAAGGGATCGTGGAAGAGCGCGAGGCAGCGCGTCCGCTGCTCGGCCTTGCCGTCCAAGACGAGCCCGCGGCCCGGGATGTTCGTCCCGCTGATGAACTCGAAGTTGTTCGTGGTGCTGTTGGTGGGCTCGGGGAATATCGGGTTGTGGGACTCCTGCGGCTGGGAGGACGTCAGGGCGTTGAAATGGGCCTCGGGGGTCGAAAACGGCGCCGTCGGGGTGGTTTTTTGCAATTTCGCCAGCCCCTCGGACGGGTTTCGCGAGTCGGCCCCCACGTCGGCGTCGCTCGGGGGCGGCGGGTTGCCCTGAATCCGCGCGAGAAGGGCGTGGACGCTCTCCGACTGGCTAAGTTTCATCGATGGCAAGGTCTCCCCCGATGGCCCCATCTTCGCCGCCCCTCCAGGGACCTTCATCGCCTCGGAGGGGTCGCGTAAGTTGATCACGGTGAGATCACCAGACTTATTACGCCAAACATGCACACCAGGATCAAGCCATGCCGAAATATCCTCCCCCTTCTTACGAGGCTTATCCGACATATTTGGTAAAGCAAATGGAAACACGGCTTCCAACAAACCAAAACGCCCCTTGACAACTAAGCCTTCTACTTGTTGGCGATATTTCTCTGGGACTCAACTAGCCTACAACAATTGGAATCGTTAGTGTACAAAAGATGCAAATGGAGTGGAAATGAAAGTTGTATATCATCATCATCATCATTATTGAAGGCACATAAAAAAATAGACACGAAAGAGTTGGTGAATAAGAACATTTTTTTTTTTTAACCTACACTCCTTTTTTTTTCCAGCAACACGGAGCAAGCAATCGTCCAAAAGACAACTCGATACAACCTCAAATGTACTTGTTAATATCCCCAACTATCATAATTTGCCTGTCTGGAAACATGCTTTGCAAAATTTTTAGACAAAGATCGCGGTCTGCCTTGGCGTGCTCGAGCAAAAGGGCGATTTCGGGTTCCAGCTTGAGCAACTCCTGACGCGCCATGGCAATCTTCTCCTCGCAGGCCTGCTTTCGGGCTTGTGCGGCGGCAATCGATCGATAAAAAAGATCGAGCCGAGACAAAAACTCCTCCTTCAGGCGAAGGCTATACTTCATGCGAATCAGCTCCGCGTCGATGGAGGCGCCCAGGTGGTGGATGAGTTCCTTTGTGGCCGCGATAAAGTCCTGGAGGCCGGGATCGCCCTCCGCCGCCCGTTCGAGGGCGAAGCAGCAGCACGCCTGCATCTCATTCAGCAAATTCGCCCGATCCCGGCCCCGCGCGAGGTCGACCCCGAAAGCCACCCCATCGTCGACCGGAGGGG